CAGTCATTTCGACAGGGCGGCACACAACGGCCACGGTCACCCCCGCCCCTTTTCTGGCAATCAGGCATGCTGCTCCTGGATGTGGAAGCTCCATTTTCAAGACAGCATCTGCAATGGGATTTCCTCGGCCACCCTCCTTGTCTCAAAGCACAGCATGACTCAGGGCAGAGAGCTAATCTCCGTCCGTCATCGGAAGATGGGGAATAAGCTGCCGGCTGTAATCAGAAATCTCTAACCAAAGCCTGGGCACTCAAGTGTGTAGGTCTTGCACAACTCAAAAGCTTTGGAAACAGTGGCGAGGGCCCGACGAGGGCTTCCCCGGAAGGCTTTGGCCTCCCTCCCCAATGCAAAAGGTAAGCACATCCCCACTCCTCCCTTTCTTCACTCCTCTTCCCCCTTTGGGACACCAGACGGGTCCACAAGCAGAGTCTGCCACCAAGAGAACATCGCAGCTGTATACTGCAAGGCAGCCGAGCCCAGCACACAGACAGTCCCAAGACAGGGCGGTAAGAGACCTGAGGACACATCTGCATTCTTTAAGGAACTGATATTAGAATCAGAGAGTCGGAAGGGACCTCCGGGGTCATCTAGTCCAACCCCCTGCACAAGGCAGGGAATCCACAGATACCTCCCCCCCCCCTCCACACCTGCAGTGACTCCTGTTCCATACCCAGAAGAGGGCAAAAACCCTCCAGGATCCCTGGGGACCAAACTGGCCTAGAGAACAATTTCTTACCCGAAAGTGGCGATCAGCATTTCCCTGGGCACAGAAGGGCCACGAGAACTAAGCCCTGAGGCGACCCTTCCTGCCCTCCCTCCCATGATATGACGAAGTTCACAGGATCAGCATTGCTGTCAGGTGGCCATCTATCCTCTACTTAAAAACCTCCAAAGGAGGAGAGCCCACCACCTCCCGAGGAAGCCTGTTCCACTGAGGAACCGCTCCGACCGCCAGGAAGTTCTTCCTCATGTTTAGCCGAAAACTCTTCTGATTTAATTTCCACCAGTAGGCTCTGGTCCAACCTTCTAGTGGTCATCAAGAATGGGGAGTGGGGACTGGATCAGGGTTGTGACTCTAGGACGGGGCCGTGGCTCAGTGGCAGAGCCTCTGCTTGGCACGCAGAAGGTCCGAGGATCAATCCCCGGCATCTCCAGGTGAAAGGGTCAGGTGGGAGGTGATGGGAAAGGCTTCTCCCTGAGACCTTGGGGAGCAGCTGTCAGTCTGAGCAGGCAAGGCTAACCTTGATGGACCCCTGCATAACTGAACTCCATGAGTACGAGGTGGTGGTGGTAATTCCCCCCCCCCCATGCCACTGTCTCCAGTGAGATCAGTACCTTAAAGCCATTTGCCACAAGGAGGGCGTTTAAGTACACCTGCTAGTGTATTTGCCTCGCAGTGCAGTTACCAGCTCAGAGGGGAAGAGGAGACAATGCTTTGAAAACCACGCGGGGGCAAGTGTTAACCCACTCATGCTGCAGCCCGGGTGCAACTCAGGTCCTCCCCCCACACACACACACACCATCTATTTATTCTTTTCAAAACCAGAAGAGACCGAACCTCAGATCTCCCATTGCCAGGTCTTCACTCACCTCTTCCTTCCTAGGCATACAGTGGGGAAAAAACCAAAACATTGCTACAGACAGAACACAAAACCAATCTGCTCTGTCCAGCCTGTTGGAAGGGGAACCCTTTTTTCACGCTGTATAGTACAGTAGTGCGGTCACAGCAATTATTCTGATCCCTCTAAGCTGTGGAGTCTTGTGAGCAAAAATTGTACTTTGGGAGCTACTGGCATTAAAGTCGTGAGCGAGCGACTGGGCTGCTCCTGCATAAATCAGTTTGCTCTGGAGCCCCGTCCTTCCTGAGCGGAGACAAAAAGGTGTGAGCCGGGGGAGGCTAAAAAACTGCGAGGTAGCTCACGCTGACTCAGCTTAGAGGGAACACACGGACATGTCGCCACCCCGCCGCCCCATACCGGGCTTGCAGGTTCTCAATGGCGATGCTCTTCTCCCTCTCCATCTTGGCCAACAGCTCCCGCTGCTTCCGGATTTCTTCCATCAGGATCTCGTCGGCTCTCAGCTCTTGTTCCTTCAGCTGCTCCTCCAGGGCATTCGCTCTGCAAGAAAAGAGAGAGAGAGGTTAGCTGAGGCTGGCATTCACTCAAGAAGTCCTCCTCTCTGGAGTTCAGCTATTTCAGGGGGGGCTGGGGTACTGAAAGCTGGCTTCACAGGAGTGCACCATCCTGGGACAGGTGTCGTACAGCCTCGCTTTCTGCCTTGTCCTGGCGCACCCTTTCGACACAGAAGCCGACACCCAACGCAAGAAGAAGAAGAGATGGGATTGATGCCCCGCCCTTCACTACCCCAGAGGATTCTCAGAGCGTCTTACAAACTCCTTTCCCTTCCCCTCCCCACAACAGACAGACACCCTGTGAGGTAGGCGGGGCTGAGAGAGCTCTTGACAGAAACGGCTCTTTTTCAAGAAGAAGAAGAAGATGAAGAAGAAGAAGAAGAGATTGGATCGATACCCCGCCCTTCACTACCCCAGAGGATTCTCAGAGCGTCTTACAAACTCCTTTCCCTTCCCCTCCCCACAACAGACACCCTGGGAGGTAGGTGGGGCTGAGAGA